GAGGTGCAGTTTGGAAGATGGGTTGGAGCCAGGTGGGATGGGCCTCGTATATACAACACTGGAGAGTTTAGACTTTACTAGGAGCGGAGGCCATCTCAGAGATCCTTCGGGAAGGCAGATCAGTCAAATGTGTTTAAGCAGGGACACAGGCAGTAGGGCAGAGGCAGAGCTGAGGATGCCACTCCAGTGCTGCTGAAAGCAAATGAGGACCTGAGCAAATGAGGTTATGACTAAGGCAGTGCCCAGCCCAGACCAGGCACTGAATGTGTGCTGATTGATAGGCTGTTCGGATCGACATAGATTTGGGCCCATCAGACCTGAACGAACTTCCTCTTGGATTCAAATCAGATTTTGCAGTAGGTTGCAGGGCCATAGGCCCTGAAGTGGAAAGGGCTCTAGAAGATGAATACTATAGTCAGAAGATTTGGTTTGGGCTTGGGGCACAATGTTAATACAATAGGCACAGGGAAGCAAAATACTGCCAGAGTCTGGTGGACCTGTTTCCTTAAAGTGTGTGGAGCACCTGAGGCATAATTTTGGAAAGAAACTAGTCAGGTCTTGTGGAGCCAATGTAGTTTCTAAAAGTCCAAGGGACACCTGTAAGAATTCTCTACTGAAAAGACTGTATTTCTTCTTTTTTAAAAAAGATAGTAAATATGTACTACTCTCCAGGATTGCTCTGTCCACCATGGTAGACACTAGCTACACGTGGCTATTGAGCATTTGAAATGTGACCAGTAAAGTTAGATTTTCCATGAGTATGAAATACACACAAGATTTCAAAGCCTTAGTAAGGAGAAGAATGTAAAACATCTCAGTAATACTTTTTGTACTGGTTATATATTAAAATGGTAACAGTTTAATTTATTGAACTCAATCAAATGTATTGTTAAAATAAACTCACTTTAAACATTTGGCTACTGGAAATTTTAAAATAATTTATGTAGCTTACATTGTTATTTTGTTGGACAGAACTACTGTGAAAAAGTTTAGTGTTATTTCCTTTTGCGTAACTAAAATTGTTTTATTTCTTCTGATTTATCCTACCTTTCCCCTGTAGAGAAGATGCCAACACGTGCACTAAGAACAAAGTCAAAATACAATAAGCAGATTCATTCATTCTTGTTTACTGTCCAGAATTGTTATCTGCCTTTTGATGTTTCCATGGAGATTAGTGCAACTGCAGTCTTGTTCTGCCCAGTTGGCGTATTATAGAAATTATTTAAATAAAAAAGTTTCAACGGTTCATTATTTGGGGCCATTAAAAGATGAGCAAGATGGAAGGGCAAAAGTTCTCATACTAATTACCTTCATGTCAGGGCAAGTGATAGTCCGACATATTTAAATAGACTCGGCCTTTCTAAAGAAGAGGTTGCTGCAGAACACTCCTACAAAGAGCTTGGGGCCGAATCTCTATTACAACATTGATTAGCAATTGCAAATTCTAAAAAACCAGAGTACTTGAAGGATAATTTTGCTTTCCGACTGGTGAACAGCAGGTAGGTATTCAGAAAAGACATTCCTGAATTCACCCACAGGGCTTCCTTTTTGTTTTTAACTTGTGTGCTAGTGGAAACTCACCGTAACATCCGATCCCACTACTGATCTTTAGATGGATTTGCTCTAATTTTGCAGAACCTTCCTGCTTCGCACCAACAACCCCCTATAACTCTAAATGTTTGGTGTGATAGTATTTATCAGGATGTGAAAGACCCCCAAGGACTCCCCACTAAATGAAACTGATTGTGCAAATGAAAATAAACTTAGGCGGGATCTGAGAAATCAAGCATTTTACTATGTTTTGCAAGGCTCTTTGCATTTAAAAGCAAATAATTAAAAAAAATAGAAGTGGTCTCTTAAAAAGAAAAAGAAAGCAATTTTTTATTACACTTTGAAGTGTAAGTAAGCAAAAAAAATTCCCCCAAAAGTTAAATGATGACTACGAAATAAATCCAAAGGGGAGAATTGCAATCTGAGGCGAGCTGGCCACACGGAGGGTCTGCTGTGCTTCGAAGCAGCTGGCAGCAGCTTAACTCCGTGTGCAGACAGCCTGATAGTGCCCTGCAGACAGTGAACCTTTGGGACAGAACAGGCAGTTCCTAAATACCTGTCACCAGCATTATATAGCAGAGCAAAATGGACCTGAAAGATTCTCATGTCGAGCCTTTAATATCCGTACAACAAAAATGACTTCATCCGTGCAATTAGCGAACAAGCTGTTCCCACTTGTCTAATAGTTCCAGGAGGAGAAACTTATTTTGACTTTCATTTGTCCCATTTTTCCTGCGTAGTGAATGTTGCAACCCTCTGTCAACTAAAATCTCTTGGCCTAACACTTACAGCCGATGCTGAAAAACTCTGCCCCAAAATTATTAGTACAAATAAAAGGAGGGAGAAATAAATTAAACTCAGCCCTCTTATCCCCATGTTGCATCCCGTTCTGCACCTCAGAAGTTCTGTGGTCAACATGTTTCAGCACTTCTTCATCCATAAAATCAAACTAAAGTTCTGTTTAATAAATTAACTTTACAGGGTTCTGTTTTGTGACAACTAACTATCACTGCTTTATTTTCCTGTTTGGCTAGTGTATTTCATAAAGATGAAAACAAATTCTTCTACTCAAAGAAAAGAAACTCTAAGAGACCCCTTTCTTTCCCATTCAGTTTTAATTGTCTGAAGGGAGAAGGTGGAAGAAAGTCACGAACTTCTAGAAAGGTATGGGTATTATGAGTCCAGTGTACATGAGAACCACATTGTGACTTGAATATTTCACCTAGAATATAATTTCCAGGGGTGGGGGAAAAGGCAGAAAACTACTTGAACAACAAAACAAAATAAAAGAAAAAGAAAAAAATTTTCAAGTATTAACATATTATACAGAAAATCTATTTTGTGTCTTAACGATGACTCAATAGTGAGTCAAATAGGCAGAGCCTTTAATCCTTTTCCATCAAAATCTGAAAAGAAATATCTCCAGACCTTTCTGAACGTAGAATTCTCCCAAGTTTTATCTGTCTTGCTAGTAATAAACCCTAGGAACCTGGGGACTGTCAGCAAAGTTGTTTAAATGATACTACTTCTTCTAGGACTTAGAGATCCAGACTCATTATTCCAAAGTGAAAAACAGTAGAATTGGGACAGTAAGTGGGGAAAAACTCCCTCTCTGAGCAATACTTATAACAAACAAAATAAACTGATGAGCAAAATAGAAACAGTGGCATGGACACATGGAGTAGAGTGACAGCTCTCAAAGGACGAGAGGGTGAGAGGGTGAGGAAGGTGAAGGGATTAAACAAGAAGCATATTTACAGAACTCATAGACCCAGAGCAGAGGGGGTGGGAAGGGGACAGAAGGAGACTTTGGGGTGGTAGGCAGTGTGCAGATGGTGTTTTATTGAGTTGTGCCCTTGAAACCTGTGTGGTTTCACAAACAAATGTTAACCCAACAAATTCCATTAAAAATAAAATGTAAATTAAAAGCAGGGGTAATAAGCCACTTGTGCTGTGGTTTAGCAGGTGGGACCCTTGTCCTACATCACATTCCACTTTAACTGGGGAGAATATGTCGCCTCAACAAATCATTTTCACTTCAAAAGTGTTTCCATTTAATTCCGCATCTGATTTGTGAACAGTGAGCAGGAAGTTTTTGTCTCTTAGTGCTGATATACTATGTAGTTCCGCTCTTGTCACGTCAGTCCCTTTTTCAGAAGGAAAATGTGCTAATCGGGATGAAAGAACCCACTGTAGGGATGGTGGGAGAATCCCAAATGCCCCATATGGGCTAGTACAGTTACTAGCTCTGAAATGTATTTACTTTTGAAATGTATTTCTCCTTCTAAAATGGGGTCTGGCTCTGGCCGCTGTGGCTCAGTGGGTTGGGTGTCATCTCACAAAGTGAAGGGTCACCGGTTTGGTTCTCAAGTCTGGGAAGAGACCTGAGTTCAGTTCCTAGTCAGGGCGTGTGTGAGAGGCAACCAATCAATGTTTCTCTCTCACATCAATGTTTCTCTCCCTGCTCCCTTCCCCTCTAAAACCAAATAAATAAAATCTTTAAAATAATAAAATGGGAGCTGATTTAGGAGATGATTTCACTCAAGACATTTTGAGTGCTAAGCCCCGGAGCCTGGCAGTGACAAAATTAATTCCAATACTAGCAATTTCTAATTCTTTCTAGTCTGCAGGCCATAAATGATAGAGCTAGATTGGGGCCAGGTTAAATTATTTAGGCTGATGAGGCATATGAAGCATTTCCTCCGAGAAAAATTTAGAGGATTAGATCACTGTTTCATGGGTAACATGACTGATTCGAGCTTCAGCTCCTGAAGTTATCGGTAGATTTAGTCAGCCAGAGGCACCTTCAGTTTATGGAGGTCGTCTCTTAAGATTTTTCCCCCTAAACATTTTAGAAATATTATGGGTGAATGTTAACCACACCAAGATGGATGCAGAAGAGAATAGTTGTATTTTGGAGGAGAGAATTGATAATGTTCTTGGCATGTTGGGGAAATGATTAGAATGAAAAGGGAAATACTGTATTGAGGGCAATGCTGAGAGAAAAGAGGACCTCATCGATTCAAAAACATTTACTGAATGTTTACTCTGTGCCATGCTCCATTCTATATGCCATCTTAATTCCCAGGAGCAGACCTTTTAATTAAATGAAAAGCTCTCAAGCTGAAGCACTGAACTTTCACTTAGGGTCATGAAGAAGTAACAGGGACCACATTTACCCTCCCTCCTCAAACAACTAAAACCCAGGTCAAAATCCCTGAAGCTCATTTTCAGACATTGGAAAACAGGCAGTGGAAGATGGAGAGCTCTGGGGAAAAAAGCAGGGGAACAACCCAACCAGGTGAGCCTGATGATCGCCCTAGTGTGCTGCCTGGAGAGTTTCTAGGCCGATACACAGGGAAGGGAAACCCAGCAGAGCGTGGTGATCTCGAGCTGTGGAGACAGAGCTCAGAGTACAGAGAGGCCGAGGCAGCTGGACTTCGTGGGCAGAGCACTGGAGAGAAGAAAGCTGCAACGAGCGAGAGCTCCAGATATCCACGTAGGGTCCCCGTAAGTATTCGTTTATTTGTTTTATTTTTTAAAAAGATTTTACTTACTTATTTTTATAGAGAGGGAAAGGGAGGGAGAAAAAGAATCAGAGAAACATTGATGTGTGAGAGATACATTGATAGGTTGCCTTTCTCATGCCCCCAACTGCGGACTTGGCCCATAGTCCAGGCATGCGCCTGACTGCGAATCCAACTGGCAACTTTTGGGTTCACAGGCTGGCCCTCAATCCACCGAGCCACGCCAGCCAGGGAAAGTCCCCTTAAGTTTTTAGCTGAATAATAGTTAATGCATGGGTTTGCGGAAACTATCAAGGACAAAGAAGCCACTGGGAAGGAGCGGTGGATCAATCCTTGGGACACACAAAGGGCTGGGAATAGTTTATATTCATACTAGCCAGGGCAGAAAGACTTCTTAACACATTAGGAACTGTGGAGAGCCTTCAGGAAAGTATTGCTTCAACAGTAGGGTCAAATTAGCCCTAGATTAAAGGCTGTTCTTCACCCACCAAAAGAAGTTTAAGAGCAAACCTCGAAAACAGCAAACTATTTCCAAGTGGTTTAACTATATCCTATGACAAAACCCCGAATATTGAAAACATTACTAACATATCCAGGACCTCCCAAAATATTAAACATACAATGTTTGACAGTAAATTAAAAATCACCACTGAAACGAAGACAAATAAGATTGAATAGAAATAGTAAAGGGAAGATAAAATTTAAAAAAATTATAGGGTGCAGCACAAATTATGCCCCTTGTTTATTACACAAAAATCTTTTATTACCAAATTCTAAGCATGTAATTTGGTAACATAACAGTATCACACTTAAGCACATCATGTGACATTCTAGGTGAAATGTTCAAATTGCTGTCCATCTCGTGTGAGACATTCACGTACCCTACCAACCACACTCAATGGCGGTACTTCTGCTGGACCCTGTATATTACTAGACATGCAAAGAAGCAGGAACATAAGATCCAAAAATGAGAAGAAAATCTGTAGAAACAGGCTCAGAAATGACATAGATGATGAAGGTAGTAGACAAAGACATTAAAACAGCTGTTTTAAGTACATTCCTATGTTCTAGGAGTTAGAGGAGAGCAGCAGTGTGACAAGGAGAGAAATGGAACATATCTAAACAGACTTCAGCCAAACCCGCACAGTTTAGAAGTGAACTGAACTGGACTGGGAGTCACAGCAGAGTAGACAAAGCAAGAAGAAAAGATGAGTGAATTTGAAGACTTCAATAGAAACTATCCAAAAAGAAATACAAAAAATAAATAGCTGTAGGACAACGCCCAGCAGCCTAACATATGTGTAATGGGAATTCCAGGAGGTGAGGAGAGGCAAGTTGAGATAGGAAAACATATTGAAAGAAACAATGGCTGAAATTTTTGTTTATTCAACAAAATATATACGAAGTATCTGCTGTGTACCTGGAGCTGGATGTAGGATGGTGAGAGTTACAAATGCCACCGCCAGAACTTAGGTCTGGCAGGAAAGTCAAACAGGTATGTAAGCAGTGTGATAAATGCTACCTGGCCCATGTTGATGGAGGCCACTCCTTCCCACTTGAGCCACTCTTTGATGTTGGTTTCCATGGCACCATCCTTTTTAGGTCCTATTCTCCTCCTAATTCTGACCATGTCTTAACACCCTTACTACTGGCCTGTTCTTCCTCCACCTGTGCCAGGAGTTGCGTGTGTTCCCCCTGCTTATTTCCTTGGCCTTCTTCCCAATCTATATCTCAAGTTTCCTTCAGGAGCTCATTCATGTCCATGGTTTCATTTATCTACTATGGGCTGATACTTCCAAATCTGTATCTTCAGCCCAGATTTTTTTCCCCTAAATTTCAGGCTTGCATTATCTACTGAACAGCTTCACTTGGAGGTTCCCAAGTGCTCCAAAGTAAACAGTCTCAAGTGAAATCATTTATCCTAAATGTGCTGTCTTCTGCACCCAACTTAGTAAATGGTATCCAGTCATTATTGCCTTAAACCTGGGCATCATCCTTGGTGTCTTTCTCCTTCAAACCGCACATGTAGCTGGTCGCCAAATCTTGTCGATTTGTTCCCCTGCATTTCTCAAGTCGGTGTCCTTGTTATCCCAACAGCCCATGCTTTAATTCAATTCTATCATTTCTCTTTTGAATACATTAGTCATATCTCCCTGCTTCTGGTCTTGATTTCTTTCAATCAGGTCCATACAGCAAAAAAAGTGATCTTTCTGAAGTACAATCCGATCCAATTATGTTACTTTCTGTTTGCCTTTTGATAGTTCTGCATAGACTTAGATAAAACTCAATCTCCCTCTCATGCTCCACAATGCCTTATCCTGCCAGCCTCACCTCTCTTTTCATACTGAATTACTTGGTTCTCCCAACGACCTCTGGCATCTCATCTATCACAGTCTTCGCACGTGCTTCTCCCGGATCTTGCCCCCTCCTGCTGATGACTCCTGTAGTGCTCAGATCCGACACCGCTTCCCTGACAGTCAGCTTTTCTAAACTGGGATTAGATGCCCCTCCTCGGTACACCGTAAAATATTCCATATGTATTCTTATGAAGCATTCATCTTGATTTCTAAAAAGTATTTGTTTTTCCCCATTGCTAGATTGTGAATGCCTCCCAACCCTTTCTATGCTATCCTCCTTCCTTGCTTAGTTTTTCTGCAGGTATTCATCACTACCTGGCATACAATATATTTTACTCATTTGTCTGTCTCTCTACCCCAATAACAATGCAAGCTACTTGGAGGTGGAGACTTTGGTCTGTTTCATGCAGTATCCTGGACACCTATACCAGCACCTGACACGTAGTTAGCACTTAATAGTCATTCGTTATATAAACACATAAATCTTTGTCCTGGGCACTTACAGCAATCTAGCACATGGTACTCGTTAAACTCGGCTGCAACCTTGTTTCTTCATTTGTCTCCTTTTCAAGGGAAGATTTTATGGGAACCCATTCCCTAATTAAGTTCTCAGGTCCTGGCATGATTTTAATCATGTTGTTAATTGTGGTAAAATATACATAACATTGAGCAGTTTAACCATTTTAAAGTGTGCGGTTCAGTGGCTTTAGGTACATTCGCACTGGTGTGCAATCCTTCACCCCACTATCCTTCTCCAGAACTTTTTCATCACCCTCATCTGAAACTTGGTACCCATTGAACACTAATTCTTTATCCCCCCCCCCCAGCTGTGGTAACTACCATTACCCTTTCTGTGTCTATAAATTCAGCTACTCTAGATACCTCATACAAGAAGAATGATACAGTATTTGTCCTTTTGTGTCTGGCCTATCATATCTTCAAGGTGCATCCCTGTTGTAATGTTATCAGGATTTCCTTCCTTTTTAAGGCTAACACTCCACTGTATGTTTGTATTACACTTTGCTTATCCATTCACCCAAGGATGGGCATCTGAGTTGTTTCTACCCTTGGGCTTTTGTGAACTGTGCTGTTTGAGACTCTACTTTCACTCTTTTGGGTCTATACCCAGAAGTGGAGCTGCTGGATCATGTGGCAGTTCTGGGCTTAATTTATTTTAGGGACTGTGGTACTAGTTCCACAGCAGCCACACACTTTTGCATTCCCACCAGCAAGTTCAAGGGCTCCAATTTCTCCACATCCTTTGTTTTGTTTTATTATAGCCATCCTAATGGATGTGAGGTGATACCTAATTGTGGTTTTGATTTCATTTCACTAATGATTGTGGTGTTCGGTATCTCTTCCTGTGCTTATTGGCCATTCATATATCTTCTTTGGGGAAGTACCCATTCAAGTCCTGTGCCCATTTTTAATTGAGTTTATTGGGATCACCTTGGTTAATAAAGTTATATAAGTATTAGGTGTACAATTCTATAATAATAAATAATCTGTGTTATTACAGTCTGGATATTGTATTGTGAGTTCAGTACCCGAAGTCAAGACTCCATCTATCACCCCTGTGCCCATTTAAAAATTGCGTTAGTTGTTTTCTTGAGTTCTAGGGTTAATGGTTTCATTATATGTTTATAATTGATTATGAAGTTTAGTTTGGCTGGATGTAAAATATTTAGCATGCATTTTCTTTCTTTAGATATTTTAAATATGTTATGCCATTGTCTTTCAGTATAAACTATTGCTATCAAAAAATTGATGACAATCTAATGTCACTTCATTTAGAAATGACTTTTTTTCCCTTTTGATTAGATACCCAAAGGATTTTTTTCTTTATTGTCCAAGAGGCTTAATAAAATGTTTTGATATTAGCTGTTCTGGGTTTACTTTTAAGCTAGATATATAGCATGACATCACAATATACGAGGTCTCTCCAGAAGGTATTCAGCCAAGTCATATGAAAAATAGAGACATTTATTAAAGAAAATACAAGATACAAGAAAAATTGTATATAGGACAATGACACCTCAGACCCCTTCAAATTAGGCAACTTGGGACATCACACAGTTCTCCCAATCGCCATTAGTTGCCCCATCATAATTTCCTGAATCTCATCACCTGAAATCTCTTCCCTTTCAAAGGTGGTTTTAGTTTTGGGAAAAGCCAGACATCACAGGGCACCAAATCTGGGCCATAGAGGGGCTGAGTGACCTGGGTGAAATGATGTTTCATCAAAAATCTTGCATGAGACATGATGCATGAACAGGTGCATTGTCATAATGAAGTTGCCAACCACTAGTTGCCCCTAGCTGTGGCCTTCTGAATCATCCAAATAGTTTCCATGAAGGAATGTTCACATTTAATGCAAAATTTGAAGCATGCTCTTTGCTCTCCTCGCTCAGTCATTTTGAATGTGACAGCCACACAGTACACGTGCTCACTCAACTGGCATCTCCTGCCCCCACTGACTAGTACAGCAAGGTTGTCATTGCTCACACATGCTCGTCCAGTCCACTCTCCTTGGCCGCCAGGAGTCACGCAAACCATTCTCGTTATATTAACAATGGCCTTAAGCAGGATAACTAGTGGCAAGTTGCAGCTGATGGAAAATATTGACCTTGATTTGGGAAGATAGTTTATTTACTGGAAGAATTTTAGAAACTAGCTAACAAGTAGGTGGCTTTAGTAGCCATCCTTTTGTTTATTAGTCTTATCAACAAGAAAGGTAAGAGTGAATGTTTTCGAAAAGATGTCTTGGCACCATTGAAGCAGCTATTAAAGAATTAAATTGTGGGAATTTAAGCTCTTTATGGATCCTGGAACTCAAGCTTGTTTTTGTGAAGCACTTGATCAGAAACAAAAGTTTCACTAAGTGTTATGTTGTCTGGGCACTTTTCAAGCGCACATGGACACAATTTATTCTCTTCCAGGAGCCATGCTCTGGTTCAGATATAAAAGTTTCACAGAAAAGCTCTGCGGGGTATGTGTAAAAGAAAACATTTAAAATTGTATTATAATTGCAACAGACTATAAAGATATAGATTTAGTCATTGTTTATCCTTGGGTCATTTTTGGAAGATTTTAAAAACAAAAAAGTTTAAGGAAAAAGTTCTGGAAATCTTGAGTGTGGCTTACCATCCAATTTGTCTTCATATCCAAGAAGAAAATTATACATTTTAAATCAAAGTAAGTTCAGGACATTTTGGTATTTTAGAGGCAGCCATGTCTGTAGCTGTTGCCATGGCGCCTACAAAATATCCTTCGGGCCCACCTTGGATTTCAGCCACAGCTGAGAGCTCCACTCAATCTCAGATTCACCTTTTGGTGACAGCAACCCGTCTCAAATAAGCGCCCCCTTTCTCCACTTTGTGACAAAGTGTCATTCCCAAGGCTATGGGAGCCCCCTGGGTCTATATACCAGTATGTCGCATAAATGTAGTGGAGTAATGCCTTCCACCGATGGGTCCATGACTAGTGGACAGATGATTCAGCCTCTGGTCCTTCTGGTAGACAACTCTGGGAAGGACTTGTTCGTTTCTGACATGGTGCCTGGTCCTGGAATCAAGTCCCAAGCTCCCCAATGGCAATCTGGATCACATACCCTTACGTTGTATTTTCTTCCCTATATCATTCTTCCTGTTCTCTCACTCCTGCTTCCTGGAATTAGGTCATAAATAAACTACTTGCTTTCAAGTATTTGTCTCAAGGTTCTTTTTAGGAGGAACATAACAAAGGACTTTTGTATGAGAATGTCCCTGGTAAGCAGACCCCTAGGATGGGGTCCTGGAACTGGATCACTTCCCTTATTTGTTGCTAAGATGAGCAGGATGGTGGTCATGCCTGGTGTGTATTACGGTTCCTAAGAATCTCCTGGGGGAGGCAATGGGTTATGTAGAAGCTGTGTCACTAGAATTATTTGGGGTTAGAGGATTGTGGAACTAGCTAGCATCTGTTAATTGCCTTGGAGGACTTGAACAAATAACTGACTCAGATCAGCCAACGATCATCTTAGGGTGTGCCGAAAGCCAAAAGGCTACGCTGGCAGTCTATACAGAGACCATTACCTCCTTGGCCACAGCACAGCTCTGCGCCCAGCAGAAACTGAAAATCTGACCATATGTGACATCAAATGATTAACTGGAGTTGCACATCATGAGCAGGGTGTTATCAGTTTCACCAAATCAAAAGGAGACAGTAGCGATCCATCATCTGTTGGAAGTAATACATTTGGGATCAAGCCTGAGTAAGTCTAGAGTGTACATGTAAGTTTTATGGACAAATGGCCTAGATTCCAAATCATTTGCCTCATTTGCACTTGTGCATCTTAGTCAACTACTTCTATGACTTCATGGGGGGATTCCCTATGGTTAGTTGCTTCAGTTACTTATCGATAGGCTAACGCTATACAATAAAAACCAAAAAATCTTTAGGAGAATCAACAATGAGCATTTATTACTCACACACCTAGGGCCAGCTGGAAATTCACTAGACAGATTTTCTGATCTTGGCTGGACCTGCTCATGTCTTGGGATTGGCTGCTGAGCGACCGAAACACCACATCTCTCATTCTCCATCAGACTATTCCAATCAGGTTCTATGTCAGTGGCAGAGGCAGAAGAGAAGGCAAGACCAATCACCCAAGTATTTTTCAAGTCTCTGCTTGGACCAGATTTATTGACTTTCTGTTGACCCAGAGGAAATCACTTGGCTAAGCTCAGAGCCAAAAGGTGAGGCAGAATGTTGCACCCAGGATGAGAAGGCAATGCAAGATTCTATGGCACAGGACATGGAAGACAGGGAGAAGTGAAGGACTGAAACTATGTGTGCAATATTATTATACCTGGTGACAGAGAAGGAAAAAGTGGTCCTTGTGAATTGGATGAACCAGCCAGCTATGCTGGACATGTTGGTGTGGGCCAGACATGGCTGGCTTATACATTATAGCCTCTCTCAGAGGTAGACCTAAGGATTGGCAGTGAAAGAAAAATCTTTCTGATGGACAGAGCCTCAAACAGTGCACTTGATAAGTGAACAATGATGGAGAAGGAGATAGCCTGAGTTAAGAATACACACAATCTTCTTATCATGGCAAAGTGTACCGACTTTTGTATCATGGACTCTCAATACAAGAGCACTCCCCCGAAGAGGCAAAGAGTAGGTGGTCAGAGTGATCCCTTCCGGTTTCAGCCTGTCCCTGACTACTCCAGGCCTAAACAACACGCCCACGAATGGAGTAATGGTGGTGGCAGACATGTTGGCTAATTATGGGCCCAACAGCTTGGGCTTTCTCTCAGTAGAGGTCATCTAGTTACTGCCACTGCCAAACACATGATCAGCAGCAGAGACCCAATGTTTGGTGCCATTCCTTCAGATTAACCAGCCACTTGGTAGCAAGTTGTTGGTATTAATTTCCTTCTACCTCAGAAGAAGAAGCAATTCTTTCCTATTGTAACTAATATGTACTCTTCCATGGGCTTGCCCTAGTACTTGGCCATCATTACTGTCTGATAGTCTATGGAATGTCTATTACTAACACGGTATCTGGGATTACATTGTCTCAGATCAAGGAACTATTTTGTAGCAAGTGAAGAATGACATAAATGATTTGATCCGTGGTCCCACCATATACACTATTTGTCCAGAAGCACTCAGTCTAACAGAACAATGAAACGTCCTGTTACACAGAGTCACCTTAGGTACCGGCTCAGAGACATCGTACAGGGCTGGGGTGCTGCTTTCTAGGATGTGATACATACACCACACCAAAGGTCACCATATCATGCCATGTCCCCAACTACTAGGATCCACGAGCCCAGTAACCAAAAGGCTATTGCTGCCAAATGGTCCCATTGGACTGCTCATGTCTATGGGACAACAGGCAAAAAAAAAAGAGTTAATATGCTGGCTGACATGAGCTAGAATTGTGACTACAAGATGGAGGATATGTCTGGAACTCAGGTAATTTGGGCACGTCTGACGCTTCCAGGCTTGGTGTGCACAGCAGACAATTGTGATGATCATAGGCTAAAAAGGGCCAAGTCACCAAGGTCCCAGATCCCTGAAGGGATGGAGGTCTGGGTCACTACACCAGGCAATCAAACTAGAATTTCTGGCAGAGAGCAAGGAAAATTTCCAATGGGTGGCGGCGGTGATGATGAATGTGAGTTTTGGCTTTGGGTTCAGCTGTAGCAACAGGAAATGTAGTTTGTCTCATTAATCCTCCTGTGTAGTTTTATACACTGGCTGGCCATCACCTTACAGACTTGGTGATGAAGTGGACTTAATATGGGACTCAAGCAGTTCTGAACAGGCAAGGGTAAACAACAGCAAATACCTCTGGCTCCACAACACGTCCCTTGTCGACTTCTGAGATTAGCCACAGCTGCACTAGACAGTTCTGAGCTCAGATTTTTCCTTCTTTTGCTGGTGAAATCCCATAGGTGTGGGCCATACATCTTTCTGCTTTCTGTTCCAAGTCCTTTTTCAACACTGGGGAAGCCTCCACTTTCTCATACAAAAGCAGAGTCCGGAAGTGCAGGGGTAGTTAATGCTTCTGGAGGTCACTCTCAACTAATGGGGCATGGAACTGGTCCATAAATGATCCCATCTGTATTGGGAGGACAATGTAGGGAGCATTCTTTAAGCTTCTCAGGAGGGCTTGGAGCACATCAGCCCCAAATGGCAAATGATAATACACCTTTGAGTGGATTTCCCGCCCCCTCTTAATCTCTGTTCTTTCACTTTTGCTTCTTGAGTCACTGCACAAATGACCTACATACATCTAAGTCCTTTTCTCAGGGTCTACTTTCAGGTAGCCTATACTAAAATAAGAACCATTCATCAAGTGCATTTATATATCTTTCCATGTAAGTATAGTTGGCTCTCCGTATCTGCAGATTCAGCATTTGTGAATTCAACCAACAGTGGCCTGAAAATATGTCTTTTTAATTTACACTGTTGCTGAGGTGTACTATGTAGTTAGGGTTATGACAGCTGGGTCTGTACTGAGTATAAAGACTTTTTGTCTTGTCATTATTCCCTAAACAAAATAAATACTACTTACCTAACATTTACATTTTGTTTGGTATTATTGAGTAATCTAGGGATGATTCAAAGTATATGGAAAGATGTGTGCACGTTACTGGCAAGTATTGTCACTTTATATAAAGGGCTTGAGCATCCACAGCTTCTGGTACCTGCAGGGCTTCCTGGAGCCAACCTCCCATGGATGCTGAGGGTCAACTGTATTTTAGAAATTTTCTAGATTGTGTGCAAATAATTATTCATGAAGAATTATTTGCAAGGTGAGGTGAGAACATTTTAAACCTGTGCAGACTGAATATATTTTTTCCTGTGTAGGCAACAAAAAAGCTGATGACAATGATGGTTCTCACTCTAAACTACAATGAAATTACCTTCTATTCAATTTCTATCTAATAATAAATAAGAATGTCTAGCTTTGATAGTGTAATAATATCTAAAGGCCAAGTGGTGAAAAGCTCTATAAGTTAATAAATACTACCAGTAAGTTCCATAGCCTTACTTTTATGATATACAAACTTTAAGTTGCCATGGAAAACTTCAATCCAATATTATTTTCTGCCAGAAATTTCTTTTAACAAGTTGTATGATACAAATGCACATACTTTTGTTGCTAAAATATTCATTGAAAACTGAATAACTGTCTGAGCCAAGTTCACTTTTTTCATCTAGATTTTTGATCACTAACCTCACACTGACTTTATATTAAATGCTCACTGCATCCCTGCAATTTTCTATTCTTAGTATTTATAGCATTAATTGAACTTTTTTAGGCTACTTTATTTTTCAGTTCAGGGATCTTTATTTTAAGACATATTGTGAGGTTATAAGTGGTTTATTATTATTACTTTTACACAGAGAAAGCTTGGTGGTGACTATTTGGCTATTTGTTGTTTCTGTGAAGAAGAGTTCAAGTTCAGGTTGTTTCCAATAGGATGTAAATTTATGCCTTTATGTGTATATGTAATGGTTATCAAAATTAAACTTAGTCACTAAAAGAAGATTCACTATCTGAGCTTTCTTCTGTATTTTTTCCACCTTCTCCATTAGGCACTGGAGCATCTGGCCTTCTGAAAGAGAAGGAAAAAAAATTTTAAGGTTTTTCCAGTTGAAAAAAGCACTTGCTAACTATAAATTAGGTTCGTCCTAGAATATTGCTGCTAATAAATCTGCCAAGTCTACACCCTTAACAAAGCGAGACTCCCACTCTCCACCACAGCTTTCGTCTCTCTGGCGTCTCCGGCACCATGGGGATTAAGTACTATTCCTGTACGGGCCGTGGCACTGCCTTTTCCTGCCAGTCCTTACACAGTGTGCTACTTCAGCACTTTATGGTTCTCATTACCATGGAGATCCGACTATAGACAGAGATGCGATCTGGGGAGGCTGGCATAACCAGGGCTAAACCCATGCAGCCTCCAAGTGTCCTGAACTACAGAGAAAGAAAAGCTAGCAGTGGAAAGAAGAGGAAAATCTTCATGTTCAGGAAAGATGCAGGGAGAAATTTTATAATGGAAGAGTGTTCAGGAATGGTTATAAAGAAACACAGGCAATATAGAAATGTTCTACTGGTGAAGATTGTTCATATATGTTGAATATTTTCACTTATATGTTTTATCTTCAGAAAATAAATATAAAAGTATGAGTTGGTAAAAACAGTGTCTCAAAGATTCACTAGGCACTATAAGGAAATTGGAGAATGGTTAAGCTTCAACTTTGCATGGCTGTGCTATAATAAACCAAAATAAAAAGTTAATATAGTCATTAAAACAGGCAAGTAGATGGACACTTGTGAAGGGGTTTGGGATGTGAGTAGGAGTTTGCTAGAAACAACAAATGTGGGAATAAGCGGGGGTGGGATACTGGGTAAAGGAGAAAACATGGGGAGGGTATGAGGCTGCACATTCGGAAACTAGAGCATGAGGCACACTGCGGTAGAGGAGCAGATGAGACTAGGTCATTTTTGGCAGGAGTAACATGTGAAGGATGGGGAAAAGTTATATAAAATACAAGTTTTCACCGAAATTGCACAACTAAGTTTGGAATTCTCAAGTAGTCATTTATTTTACATTTACATTGTGATGTAATCATCACCACCATCTCCAGAACTCTTTCCATCTTGCAAAACTGAAACTCTATACCCATTAAACAATAACTCTCCAGCCTCCCTTTCTCCCCAGCCTTTGGCAACCACTATTCTACTTTCTGTCTTTGAATTTGACTATTGTAAGTGGAATCATAGAGTACTTGTCATTTTGTGACTGGTTTATTTCATTTCTTATAATGATGGCCTTCTAAGTTCATCCATGTTATATAGCACATATCAGAATTTCCTTCCTTTTTAATGCTAAATAATGGCTCACTGTGGGCATATGTTATATTTGGTTTAATCATTCATCGGTAGATGGGTATCTGGGTTGTTTCCACCTTTGGGCTACTGTGAATAATGCCGCCATGAACAAGAATGTTCAACTACAGCGTGCCACAAAAGTAGGCTTATAGTTGTTCATACGGAAAATAATACAAAAATTAGTAATAACACAAGAATAAATTCTATGTTTTGCATACTCACAACTGCAAACCCATTTTTACCTGCCCCCCGCCTGCACATGTCTGAGTCCTTGCTTTCACTTTTTGAAGGTAGATGCCCAGAAGCAGGATTGCGGAATTGCACGGTAGCCCTAGGATGAACTTTTCTGAGGAACTGCCATACAGTTTCCCATAGTGGCTGTATCATTTACACACACACAAGTGTTCCAGTTTCTTCATATCCTTGCCAATACTTATTATTGTCTACCTTTATTCATTTTTTAAATTTGAGATAAATTGACATAATATTGTATTAGTTTTAGACATAGAACATGTTTTATTTGCATATACTGCAGAATGATCACACAATAAGCCTAGTTGATATCCATCACCATATATAGCTTCAAAAGATTTTTCCTTGTTATGAGAATTTTTAAGAACTATCTCTCTTAGCAACTTTCAACTATACCTAGAGTATTATTAACTATAATCGCCATGCTATACACTGCATTCCCATGATTTGTTTTACAGCTGAAGTTTAGCCATAGGCAGACCACAACTGCTTTTTAACACCACCTTTTTGATATTTTTGTCTCTCTCTCTTGAGATCAAGGTCTTCAACACTGAACCAATCACGTTTCTGACATTTTTTCCTGTACTCTATTTTTTAGCAAGTATGCCTGCCAATGGGTAAGGATTGGCAAGTAAATTGAATGGGAACTCAGCTCAGTCAGAACTAAAACGATGGGACCAACACAAAACCTACCTTTAGAATTGTCCAGTTGGGGAACTGAGGCTATTTTATCCTCAGTCAGCCCAAACCCAACCTTTGATCCCTTGCGCTGCTGCTAGCAGGAGGCAAAGGTCAGTGGCAGATAAGGAATTCCCTTACAGAGAAGGGAAGTCTGTTGGACAGGACTTGAATATAATTAACAGAAAGTTTTCTTGCTTTTCATTATCCCTTTAGTTAACAGTAATGAATTGCCTCTTGTCTCAGTAACAAGCAGGCTGAGGTATTTACTTTCATTTCTGAAAACCGTAAGATTGGTCTGGGGGATTCCAAAGTCTGGGGGAAAGGAATAAAGCTTTTGAATAGATACCTCCAGGGCAAATGCTGGAGGTATCTGTCAAACTGAGCTGGTTCTGTTCAGTCTGCACAGTAACTTGAACTCAATTATATGCTTCCTTTAGCCAAATCAATATGCTGCAAACTCCCCTTCTATTAATATTGGATATGACTAGTTGAATTTCAATTTCAAAAGTCTATTCATTACTACAACATTTAAAATACAGACTTTTTCAGTTTAAGAAAACAATATAATTCAGAAGGATAACTACTCTGTGTATGTTAAATATGTCTTTGTTGAAAACACAGTGGTTACCTACAACCACAGGATCATAAACCAGTTTTGATCCAAAAGCCTGGTAAACCCAATTGTTTAGAACTTGGGGCATCTTCTTCCATTAAACCATTTCTAAACCACCACTGACATTTACTGAACATTTACTGCTTGTCCAGAACTGTGCTAAGTGCTTATTTTTTTCTTAATCCGAACAATTCTATGATGGATGAACTCTTCCTCATCATTAAAAATTTCCCATTTTACTGATAAGGAAACTGATGCAGAGAGAAATTAGGTAATTAGTCCAAGGTCATTTAGCTAGAAAGTCGCAGGGCAGAATCTGAACCTAAGCAAGCTGATCATTTCTAAAATATGCCTTAGCCTGTGCCTTAACCATTATGGATTTCATCTCTTGCTGATGGGGAAGTCCAGAGGCTAATCTCTGTCTGCATCCTATACTAAAAATATTAATTACTGTGTAATCATAGTAATCTTAGTTCTGGGATGTAAATCTAAATACAGAAAAGGATATGAAAGAAACTTTTTCTTTCCCCTGGTAAGAAAATCTAAGCACTGATTGATAGAATTTATAAGGTGTACTTCATTTCTTCTGTATTTCTGAATACAAAAGTAAAACAGATTAAAATTTTCCATTTTCTTTTCCTTTAAACTCTTTTGAGTATAATGGTTACAAAGGTACTCTCTCACATATATTTTTTTATTTCAGTGGAATTGAAAACTAATTTTTATAAGCTAAACAGAATTCTTGGTTATACAGAACTATTTTAAAAAACTTGGACTTAAAAAAAGTAATTACTTAGAAGTAGCAAACAAATACTATTTATTTGGTTATTATTAAGCATTTTCTCCAATTTCACAGACTTCCTAAAATTCAATGACAGTCATTTTTTTTAGGAAAAGAGCCAGGTTCTCTTCTTCTTTAGTATGTAAACTGTTTTAGTTTAAAACTGTATACTCTTAGCTACTAACATTTTATGTAATCAAATTACAATGTATTTTCTGATCAGTATTTATTTCTATATTAGCCTCCGCTTTGCTCTTTGCTCAGCGCAGATAGATTTAGACTATTTTTTCTAAAAGTTATGAGTCTGTCTTGGTAGTTAAGACTAATAAAAAAGTAGTTTATACTTTAAAAGAAAAAAGAAAACAGAACAATCTTTTACTGAAAGTTCTTGGCTGAGGCTTAACATGTACCTAAGATTCTAAATAAAAGTACACTCTTTGCTTGGGTGGCACATTTTCTTCTCCTTCATCAGCTGAGACCTTTCCTCCAAAGTGCAGCTCCTTAACTTTTAAGTAAACATGGTCCCTGAAGTGCCAGAATTCCTTTTTAACAAGGCAGTTCATTCCACCCATCATATCTAGCTAAATGTCGTTGGAGCTGGTCTGCTGGTAGCAGTGCTGATTGGTTACGGTGAGTCACCCCAATTCCAACCAGTGCCCCTTGTGACCAATGGCCTGGGCTCATGAGGTAATGTAATGGGTCAGAATTCCGGCTCCAGGCTGTGGTTGAGGAGCAGTGTTCGTGTAAGACGATGTTTTTGCTGTTACTGGAATTCTACCCTAAAACTTGGCACCACCTTGGAACCAAATGTTTCTTAACATTTACAGACAATGACATACCCTTCAACTTGCTAAGTGAGATATATCAAGGAAGGATGGGGGGGCGGGGAAGGTCTGGGGAGTTCTCCCCTCAGAAGTCACCATGGACTTCTCAGGGTAAGGGCACCTAAATGAAGTCTTGAAGAATATGAAATTAGCCAAGCCAGTAAGATGGGGGAAGGAAGTTCCATGCAGAAGAAAGCAAACATTCAAAGGCACCAGAAGGGTATAGGAAAATGATACATTCAGAGAAGATGCCCTAGTTTGTCAAGCTGCACAAGAGAGGTGGTTATGGGAGAGTGGCAAGAAAAGAAGCTTGAGAGACAATCTGGTCTTGATGAGAAAAGCATTTCAATGCAATTCTGTATGTCGGACTACATGCTGAAGGTAGTGAAGAGTCAAAAAGATTTGAAGCAAGAATGAAGTATGAACAGAAACACTCAGGCTTTAGTGACACAGTAAAAGAGAAGAGGAAACCAATCAGGAGCTATTATAATAATTCAGGTGAGAAGAGGTGAGAGTTTGAACTAAACAGCAATGAGTATGGAGGCATGTGGTCAGATATAAAGGATTTTAATGAGACAATGATGTAGTAGGGGGTAGAGAAGAGGGCACAATCAAGGAAGACTTTCAAGTTGCCAGTGAGGGTAGTTGGTTAAGTAAAGGATTATGAAGTAGGTTTAGTTTGGGCAAGGGATAAAATGAAGCCAATAGGTGGTAAAGGAATTGTACATCCAGAATATGTTGATTCTTATAGGACTGTTAGTTTTCCATTTGTTACTTTTTCTCTAGAGAAAAAAAGCAGCATTTTAAAGGACCTTTTAGCTTTGTTACTATAGAGGTCTACTGTGTATTTCCAGAAGCAAAAAAGAGGTCACGGTCAAGGTTAAATATAGTTATAACATACATTATTACAAGTGGTACCAAAATGGATTGGACCCACATGTTCAACTCACATTAAACTACATGTCACAGTCCATCTCCATTTGAAGTTTTGCGTCAGAAGGAACTTCCAGAACAAATGCCTAATATCCTGGAGATGCTTTAGTTTAAATCTCCAACCTGCGCCACTGCACTTTAACTGTCTGCTCCTTGGATATACCTCCAATACTAAATGTAGATACGTGTTGGAAATCTGTTCTTGCAGCCTTTTAAAAAGTTCTTAGATTTCATATTTTAGAAGATATGAGAAAAAGACTGTTCTAATGGCGTTTCACCTCTAAAATGTACACATTTTCTTGAAGGGCTGAGAGCCAAGAAAAATTCTGAAGTAGTATACTGCTAGTAGAAAGTGAATGCCTGGATAACACAGCTCAATGCACTGGGGTGAACTAAGATCCCAGAGTGGAAAGACTCTTACAAGTATCTAGATACTTGCAAAACAGACGAGCTCTGAATAGTCTGTTATGATACATATTTATCCAAGATGAGCTTTGTAGGCAGGTTTGCTTGGATGGAATAAATTACTGTCAAATTTCTGAGCCATAAGTTTTCAACACTTCTAAAAAATATTTTATAAAACCCATAAAAACTGATATCTAGGTGTCCATAATAACCATTCATGTAGATCTAGAGAGACTGTGCCCTACTTATTTCTTATTCTAGCTCAACTTTGATCTTGGTGGAGGACATTTCCTGTATACTAAGGTATTAAACAAAAATCTGGTAGATAATTAAAAAAAAAGGAAAGACAAAAAAACCCTGCTTTTTGAGGATACTACTGCTGCGCAACAAAACTGCCACCAAATTCCATCTTTTATGGCCTGAGGGCTAGGAGGACTGGGCAAAGGGGGGAAAATGAGGACAACTGCGATAGGGTCAACAATACAAATAAAGTTAAAAATATTCAATCTCTTTTGGATTTATTCATCACTGGTCTATCGCACCTTCCCTTAAATGTACAAAGACTGGTTTTAGTAGCATAGGACAGATTTTAATTTTTTTTTGTTTCATTTTTGTAACATAGCAGAGACATTACTTATGAAGGTGATTCACTCAACTTTAAAACACTATACAGGAAAAATAGTGTTTTTGAAATCTTTTTAATATAATTGATAAATTCAACATCTTGACAAATTACTTACTCAAGAAGATTTGGGTCTAGTCCTTCTGATATCATTTTGTTTCTTATTGCCATCAATGGAACACCCTAAGCAAAAAAAACCACAATATAATAATTCAATTATTAAAAATGCCTCCATAGAAACAGAAAAATAAATCGATGGAACAGAAATGAGAGCCTCAAAATAAAACCCAAGCATACATGGTTGACTAATACTTGACAGAGGAGCCAAGACTACTCAATAAAGACAGTTTCTTCAATAAATAGTGCTGGGAAAGTACTGACTATTCACATGTAAAAGAAGAAAACTAGACCTCATCTTTCGTCACAAACATTACCTTGAAATGGATTTAAGACTAAAATGTAAGCCATGAAACCATGAAACTCCTAGCGAAAACATGTGAAAAAGCCTCTTGACATGGTTCTTGGTAATGATTTTACAGAAAGCACAGCTAAAGCACAAGCAATGGAATAAAAAGCAAACAGGTGGGACTACATTAATCTTACAAGGCTCTGCACAGCAAAAGAAGCCACCAACAAAGTGAAAGAAAACCTTACAGGGTGGAAAAATATTTGTAAATCATAAATCTGATAAGGGGTTAATATTCAAAATATATTGTAGAAGAAACGTGTATAGCTCAATAACAAGAAAACAAATAATCCAATTAAAAAATGGGCTAAGGATCTGACAGACATTTTTCCAAAGAAGACATTTAAATGGTCCACAGTTACATGAAAGATGCTCACCCTCACTAGTCATCAGGGAAATACAAATTGAAACCACAATGAGGCATCATCTAGCACCTTTTAGAATGGTCATCAACAAAAAGACAAGAGATAACAAATGCCAAAGCAGATGTGGAGAAAAGGGAAGCCTTGTGCACTGCTGGTGAAATCATAAATTGGTGTAGCCACTACGGGAAACAGTATGTAAGCCCTCAAAAAATTAAAAATAGAACTATCATATGATCCAGTAATTCCACTTCTGAGAAAAGAAACGAAAACATGAACTTGAACAGATACGTTATTTATAATAGCCGAGACATGGAGACAATCTAAGTGTCCCTTGATGGATGAATGGATAAAGATGGCATATGTATATATTTATAGATATAAATTTATAGATGTTATATCTATATAGATATAGATATTCAGCCACGAAAAATGAGAAAATCCCACCATGTGCAACAATATAGATAGGTCTTGAAGGCATTTATGCTAAGGAAATAAGTCAAAATAAGACATATACAGTATCATCTAACTTATACATGAAATTAAAGCAAAGCAAATCATATCGAACTCATAGATTTATGGTTATCAGAGGTGGTATGAAAATTGGAGAAAAGTTGTCAAGACGTAGAAACTTCCCATTTACAAAAATCATACCATAAGTACTAGAGATGTAACCTACAACGTGAGGACTGAATTTAACATTGCTTTTGAAATATAGGAAAGTAGATCCTAAGCATTCTCACCACAAGGATACATTTTTTCTTTTTACTGTATCTATATGAGATGATACATGTTAACTAAACCTACCGCACGGTGGTGATCATTTCACAGTACGTGTAAATCAAACCATCATGCTGTACACCTTAAACTTATACAGTGATACATTTCATTTACTTCTCAATGAAACTGGAAAAAAATTTAAGAAATGGATGCTAAAAACCACCTCCTTTATGTCTCCACACACCACCTAAAACAAGACCTTTCAGAGGGCTTATTATTGAAAATAGCTCTTATTTTATTTTTATATTAGTATGTGAATTAGCAGGTCAATAATCTAACGAGGTGCACATCTTAATTGACTTTAATGGAATCGATGTTACCCGGTCCAAATCAAATATTTGCACTTATCTATTACTACCATATTTTGCTGTGTATAATGTGCACCCACATTTACCTGTGCATTACACAGGGATTGTGCCCATGGTATGCATCATGATATCCATGTATAATGCACACTGTTATTTTTCCCTAAAAAATTTGGGCACAAAAGTGTGCATTATACATGGCAAAACATGGTAACTGTACTGTATAGAAGCAGCCGGGTATTATATTCTTACTCTTCTACCACCTAAAGAAAATACTGATAACTTAAACAATACTTAATGAACTTCTTTTCAAATAAAGGTTTCAGAGCTTTCTAATCTGAAATATAGCTTTGTCAATGTTTTTTATAAGCAAATTGTCTAATTCCATGCAGAAAGGTCAAATAGAATTCAAAAACTGCTGAGACTATATTATACATCTTCCCTACATCGATATAAACACCAAGTAATGATAATTTTAGAAGTGTATAGTCATAAAAACATTGAGAATATGTGAATTTCAAAGTTTAGGATAACATCAAAATAATAAGAAAGGCTATGTCAGAAATAAATATAAATTTACTTGAAAAGGGAACTGATTTGATAAACATTTATTGAAAACTCACAAAGTTCTAAAGGGAGAAGATGTGATCAAGTGCATTTGTCAATGCCTCCTCTTTACATCATCCCAAAAGATGAGGAAACACTAATTTGATGAGTTATATTTGAGGACTTTGATTATATCACTTTTCAAAAGTGAGTCAGGTCACTGTGCTACATATTTTTAAAAGATTTCATTTTTATTTATTTTTAGAGAGATGGAAGGGAGAGGGAAAGAGAAAACCATCGATGTGTGAGAGAAACATTAATCTATTGCCACTCACAGACCCCCAACTGGGGACTCGGCCTGCAACCAGGGCATGTGCCCTGACCAGGAATCGAACCAGTGACCTTTTGATTCACTGGCTGGTGCTCAATCCACTGAGCCATACCAGTCGGGGTGGGTCACTGTGCTTTAAAAGGCTGCACACACCGTTGGGACCCTCTCCCTCTTATCTCTTTATTTCACGTGGTAGAAGGGGTGAGCTGAGCCAAAGATCACACCGACCTACTGATGTTGCATGCTCTTTCCATTGCTGTTGTATGGTCCTCCCAGGTCACTAGCTAGTTGTGACACTCGGGTTTGACCCTAAGGTACAGAAGAGGCCCCTTAGGAGCTCTGATACCCCAGTCCACTTTCTCAGAGGCCTACCCTGAATTTTCTGGGCATCAGCCCAGTTAAGGTTCCCTGCTTTCTTTTGCAGTTGTCTGTTCCGTGGTCTGAGGATGTTACTATTCTGTCTCAGGGTTCTGACAGAGTGGTTAGGAGTCGACTTACTGTGGTTAGCAGTAGAATTCTGATACAAAAATCCCACACACCTCAATGTTTAACATCACTATGGCAGCACAGTGCTTTATGCTGAGAAAATAAAGATATAATCAGCCCCTGGCCTCAGGGAGTACAGTCTAATAGATGGGTTAAACATGTGATCACAATACAACCATGAAACTTATAACGGAAACTTGCATTACGGGCAATGGTAGACCTAGCAAAGGATTCCCTGAGGTGAGTCTTGAAGATGGGATAGGTGTTTAAAAACAAAGACTTAAAAACTCTTCAGTAGGTTTTGTACAGATATAGATAAAAGAAAATACACGTAATTTATAATATCTTACCCCATTAGAGACTTGACTTTTATCGGCTTAATACAAATATAAAGTTTGATACAAAAATAATTTGGTCTGTTACAAAGGATGCATTCCAAACAGATTTTCTGTTTCTGGTGACGTTGCTTAGAACATTTGTTGTTTTGCTGTATCCATCCTCAGAGGTTAAGGAACACTCTGGTTTGTTAAACATCAAAAAGAGGTGTCCGATTTCTGATCTCCAAGAAACAAGGCTATTGGTGGTCTAAGGAGGACACGAGAGACCTGAGAACTGAAGCCTTCTGAACTGTGGGGTTATTTTTGGCGAGTGGAATGGCAGTTTGTCCAACATAAGTAATGAAGAAGAGAGAAGGCAGCCATAAGTCTGATGTTCCAAAAAACCATGTCTGATGTGCGTCACTGGAGAATTTGTGCAAAGAAGCTACAGTAATGAAATTATGATGGCAACACTGATAGTTAAATACTAGGTTCTCCCATCACAAAAACTGAAGGTTATTTAGGACTGCCAATATTTACATTTATTTGTTATTGTGTTAATGAAATCCAAGCTACTAAATTCCTTTATAAACCATGTTGAAATTTTCCTACAGTTTTAAATTAGAAGGAGGAAAACCCTTTTTAATCTAATAGAGATGGTTTTCCTTTTTTAAAATAACAAAAACTCCTATTTGAGTTTTTCCTCTTAGTTCATGAGCTTGAATCACAACAGTTCAGTTCTGAAAGATGGAAAATAGGAAGTTTATAAAGTTTTTTCCCTACCAGGTCAACATAAATACTTACTGAGTTGGTAGGTGGCTAGAATGCCTTTTTTATTTTCAGGGAGATGGAATGCATAGGAGTTGAAAATAGGCTATGAGTTGAAAAAAAGGCAGGCAGTCCTCTGATAGCCTTTTTAACTTAAATTTTAACTTAGTAAAGTGGATCCAATCATGTCTTTGCCTTCTGATAGTCAATAATGCTCTCTTTAAAATATTTATACTGCATTTTATAAAACAGATTAGTAGGGTGTTATGTTTAGGAAAAATTTTCAGATAAAATATTCTATACAATAGATACATGTTTATCGAACAAACTGTGACACAAAAGCAAGTGTATGTTTAATAATCTTTTCTCCTTCTAGAAGCTTTCTGTGAAGGGATACACAATTAATTTAAATAAATCTCTTCATCACTGTAGAACAAATATGGCCATCTAAAAAAGGAAAACTTTATTTCTAATGAGTACAGATATAGAAAATGATAGGCTCTAATATTATCTCTGATACTGCTGCCTCAAAGGGTCATTAATTTGCAATCATATATGTAGACACGAAAGAAGCTCACAAATCTTGACTGGTACTGTTTCACAGTGGTTTCTATGGAGCTACAGCAAATTACTCTTTTGTCAATGACTGTTTCAACAGAAGCTAAGAGTTTCATAGGGAGAAAGTATTCTTCACTGACTGCATCAGGGATCTTTAAAGATGAGGGAACAAATCATGTGATAAAATAGACAAAATTATACCAGCCAGGACCAGAGCCCCCAGGAGGTTGGTAAGGCGGTTACTGTTACTTATTCATAAAATGAATACATGTTAGCAGATCCACCTGTGCCTTTTTGGCATGGGAACCAAGGAGGTTAACCTAAATGCCTATCAAGAAAACCATTAAAAATTACTTCAAGAAGTTAGGGGTCTATTATTATGAGACTTAAAATATAGCTGCATCAATTTCCCCAGTGATTGCTTTTTTCCTCTAGATATTCTTGTAACATGATAAATATGCACTCTTAGTCAACAACTAAGTCAAAATAAGTCAATGACCAAGAGTGCATAGTGTGTTCTTTGCATTTTGTAGCTATTCAAGTTTGTTTTTAAGTCTCAGAGTAATGGGTGCTTTGGAAGACCCATTTCCCTCCCCTATAATATAAAACATCTAAAATTTAAAGACTTGCTTTGATAGTCCCAGTTATGCGCTAACTCCAGTACGAGAACTTCAGCGGCATCGTAGCTTTGCTAAGTCTCATTTCACTCAAATGATATTTGTTCTTAAAAACATGCATTGATTAGAATTTTATAAATTTAATTGCACATTTACTTTAAGGAATACAAATTTTAAAAGAATTTTTATGGCAAGTCATTTTGGAATCCACTATTTGACTTAAAAGTGTAGTAAGTTCAGACTGTCTCTTAATCAAGGTTTTGGAAACTCATTACGCTATGTACCTATTCAAGAGGATTTACAGAAATATCTCCAAATACAGCAATAAAAGAATGGAATTCTTAGTTTTCAAACATATTTTCGTTTGAACAAATAATTCGTTTTCAAACAAATTTTTCAAAGGTGGTAATGAGTGTGAACTGAGGCATTATGAATCACTCATACAATGACCTTAGAGATCCACAGGTACGTATTCAAGGAGAGACGGCCAGAATCAGGCATTCCGTGTGGCCACAGAACCACAGTGAAGGGCCCTGAATCTGATATTATTGTGTCATGAGCGTAGTGTCTACCCAACTACCTGAATAAAAGTCATTTGTGAACCTGGACTAGAAAAAGAGTAAGGAAAGTTGAGATGCTGTATTATTATACTATGAAAGCTCTGGTGAGCTGTACTTACGTCGGGAAATATTTATTTAAATTGCAGTATTAAGATAAGTACAAAACAATGTAGGTATCTTCAAGTAGAGGAATATATAATTCTCATTCAGTTTTACCAATAAAATATTTTAAAATCTATTTTCTTTTAAAAGCATACAGTAAACATATTAGCATTTTCTCCAAATTGTAAAATAACCAATAAATTGACCCACAAATGAAGTACGTTGTTGCCATCTCACATGGCTGTAGTTAAGTCAAGGCACAAAGTGTCCGCCCCACACTGAATGCCTACACCAGCTGAGACCCTTGTCCAAAGTTGGCGCTAAAGGCCCTCCTCCAGCTGACAGGCTCTAAAACCTCTAAGACACGTCTTTCCCACCTGAAGTGAGTCCACTTCCTTACGATAGCTCATTTGCAACTCTGGTCTTTACATTTTCTTCCATTTATTAATCACAATCTTAGACAAATTTATATTCAAGGTAAGATTCACAATATTTCTGAAAGGAGTAAACGGAAGTAAGCAACTATTTAATTTACGTTACTATTACTTCCTCACCAATTTGGAAAACTTCTATGTGACGAACTTATATAAATGAGGCAGAGGTAGTCAGTAAGAAAGAAAGAACGGCACTGAGAAATCAAAGTTGGAGAAGAGTAAAAGATTCATACCACACATTTCAGCAAAGTATAACTCATTGTCAGTGTGTATCTTCAAAAGCTTCCTTATGAACCTAAACAGTAATGTTCCGTCTGTCACAACTTCTAAAGGGCTGAGGAGTTCTTTAAAGGAGTTGGAATGAAAAACTCAAGTCCAGAATCAAATACATTTTTCTGCTAAATGCCCCTGTTTTTGTTGTTTCCCATTTTATATATAATTTAAAGGAAATTCCTATGAAATTTAAAACTACCTTAAGCTCACCCTCTAACAGTTCCTTCCTCTGTGTTTGCCTGCTTGTTTATATTCCTTCCTTTTCTTTCTTTTGTGGAGAAAGATAACAGAGGTATGGTGTCACCATGAATTTAAAACAAATGAAGTAAATGTTACAGATATTTAGCAAAATAAATAAGCTGAAATAAAGAACTACATGTTTTGCTTGAAAAGGTCTGTTTCATAGAAGCTGTCATACATTATCTCTATTATTTTAAATATGTCACTGACATAAAAATATAACATAGAGAATATATTCCTGAACAAATGTATTCTCTTCAAACATAAGAGCAAAAAAGTATATTCAAATTTAAAGTAATTTTAATTATCTGACATTATTTAAAGACATACAATTCAAGTGCACAGTAACCAAATATCCTTCTACGACTCAAATGAAGACTTGACATTTGTGTGTGTACCATTTTGTTGGCATGTGACAGTTCTTTTTCTTTTTTATTGAATTTATTGGGATGACACTGGTTAATAAAATTATATAGCTTTCAGTTATACAATTCTACAATACATCATCTCTACAAGGGGGGCCCCCCAAAAGAATTATCTTTGCAGGGTGAGCCCCATGAAGTACAGGCTTCCCCTGCTAGGTGAGTGTTCTAAGAACCCATCTGTGTCAGTGTACCAGTTGGCACTGTTGTGAGAGGCTGCATTTGGCTTCAGTGAATTTGAAGACTCTTTCAACGTGTTTGCCTATTTCATGAAGGTGATTCACAAGTGCACCTGCCCACACAGTGCTGAGTATTCAGCAGTTTTTGACCAAAAATAGCATGACCCCCATGGCCCCACCCTTCCCATTCACCAGATCTGGATCCATTCCAAGTGACTTTTCTTTGTTGTTTTCCAGGATGAAAAAAGTCCTCAAAGGGAAATGTTCTGCTGATGTGGAAGAGGTGAAACAAAAAAAGTCAAAAGCATCAAAATCAGTGAGTTCAAAAACTGTTTTGAGTAGTGGACAAAAGTCTTGATAGGTGTATTGCATCATATGGAGAGTACTTTGAAGGTGATTAAAGTTTAAACATAAGAATAAATAAATACACAATTTTTAATACATAAATTTTGTTTTGGGGGTCCTCTCTTTTATATTGTATTGTGTTCATCCCCCCAAGTTAAGTCTCCTTCCATGACCACTGATCCTTGCTATACCCTCTCCTATCACCCACACCACTCTTTCCCTCTGATAACCACCATACTGTTGTCTCTGTCTATGAAGATATTTCTTACATTCTGTTTTTTCTGCTTAATCCCTTCACCTTTTCACCCAGACCTGCACCCCACCTTCCCCTTTGACAGCTATCAGTCGGTACTCTATGTATATAGTCTCTATTTTGTCTATGTATATACAGTCTCTATTTTGTTTGTTAGTTTATTTTGTTCATTAGATTCACATGAGTGAAGTCACATAGTACTTGTCTTTCTCTGACTGGCTTATTTCATTTAGCACAATACTATCCAGGTCCATCCATGCTGTCACTAAGGGTAAGACTTCCTTTCTTCTTTATGGCTGAGCAGTATTCCATTGTGTAAATGTACCACAGCTTTTTTATCCACTCATCTACTGATGGACACCTGGGCTGCTTCAAATCTTGGCCAGTGTAACTAACACTGCAATGAACATAGGGGTGCATATATTTTTTCAAATGAGTGTGTTGGGTTTCTCTGGATAAATTCCCAGAAGTGGAAACACTGGGTCATAAGGCAGTTCCATTTTTAGCTTTTTGAGGTAACTCCATACTGCTTTCCATAGTGGCTGCACCAATCTGCATTCCCACCAAGAGCGCACAAGAGTTCCCTTTTTTCCACATTCCTCGCCAATACTTGTTTGCTGCTATATTGATGATAGCCATTTTGACAGGTGTAAGGTGTTAGCTCATTGATATCTCATTGAGCATCATTTCATATATTTATTGGCCATCTGTATGTCCTCTTTGGAAAAGTGTCTATTGAGGTCCTTGGTCCATTGTTTAATTGGATTGTTTGGGGGATTTTTTTTTGGTGTTGAGTTTTATAAATTCTTTGCAAATTTTGTATATTAAGCCCTTATCAGATGTATCAGCAAATATGTCCTCCCATTCAGCAGGGTGTCTTTTCATTTTGTTGATGTTTTCTTTTGCTGTGCAAAAACTTTTTAGTTCAATGTAGCCCCATTTGTTCATTTTTTTGTTTCCCTTGCATGAGGAGATATATCAGAAAAAATATTTCTGTGGGAAGTGTCCAAGATTTTACTGCCGATGTTTTCTTCTGGGATTTTTATAGTTTCAAGTCTAATATTTAAGTCTTTAATCCATTTTGAGTTTATTTGCATGCATGGTGTAGGAAGGTGGTCTCATTTCATTTGTTTGGACATAGCTTGTCCAATATTCCCAACACCATTTATTGAATAGACTAGTTTTACCCCATGTTATATTTTTGTATCCCTTGTCAAATGTAAATAAACTTTAAGGGTGTGGGTTTATTTCTGGGCTCTCTATTTTGTTCCATTCATTTATGTGTCAGTTTTTATGCTGGTACCTCGCTATTTTGATTACTATGGCTTTGCAGTATAGTTTAATATCAGGTAGCATGATTGTGCCAATCTTGTTCGAACTTTTTCAAGATTGCTGTTGTTATTTGGGGCCTTCTGTGGTTCTATATAAATTTCTGGAATACTTGTTCTAGTTCTGTGAAATATGCCACTGTTATCTTGACAGGAATTGCACAGAATCTATAGATTGCCTTAAGTGGTATGGACATTTTAATGATGTTAATTCTTCCTATCCATGAACATGGTATATGCTTTCACTTATTTTATCTTCCTCAATTTCTTTCTTCAGTGTCTTATAATTTTTTGAGTACAAGGTCTTTACATCCTTGCTTGAATTTATTCCTAGGTATTTTATTCTTTTTGAAGCAATTATGAATTGAATTGTTTTCGTAGTTTCCCTTTCTGATAATTATTGGTGTATAAAAGTGCAACTGGTTTCTGGATATTCATTTTGTATCCTGCTACTTCACTGAATTTATCACTTCTAGTAGCTTTTTGGTGGAATCTTTAGGGTTCTCTATGTATAGTATCATGGGTATGTGACAATTCTTCAACAAGATTGAGAATTCCAAACCCTCCTGAGTCAAGTTCACAGTTCAAAATATATTTTCCCAGACACTATAAGCACCATAAATAAATAGGTTATGGTTGAATAATTAGTTCCTGGAAACAGGTTATTCACAAATCAAACCTTCCACTGTAATTAACTGCCACCTGAGCATAACTACAATGAAAGCTATGCTATCAGTATTAAATATTATGAGCTGTATGATTATGGTAACCGTGGTAGGAAGGCAGGTGCATACATTACTACCAAATGGACACTGACAACCATCTTAACATAATAGTACCTGACTACCACATGTCTTCCCTTCAGTGTACTAACTTCGTCATACATCAGGAATTAAAACCTGAACTTAGCAGTATCACTGTGTACTGGTCTCGAACTAACAAACATAAGAAAAATAAAACAGCAAAGAATAAGCAGAAGGGCAAGTACATCACTTGAGAGCAATGTCTGTCAACACTGAATGTGTACACAGTATGACTGGTTCTGAGCTCCCAAAGTTTCAAGCAACCTGGGAATTCAAAAGGCAACCAGAATATTGAAAAATCACACATGGTTTCCTTAGAAGCTAGTTCACTATCTTTAGCAGAGATAAGTAACTTTGGTAATTCTTTGCCAAGAATACTAGAAAAGTCACCTGTTTCTAGATTCTTCTCTAGACACTCAGGCCATGGCAAAACATAGGTAGCTCCCAGTAGTGGCTAAGTGTCACAGTTTTCTGCCATAGGAGAAATCTCTCCTCTCTAATCTTCCTTGCATTTGATATAAGACAGAATGTTGAAAAAAGAGGTTAACTGTGGTCACTTGAATTCCATTTGACCCAACTCAAACACTACTGATATAGTATATCATCACGCTAAGCTTTGCTTCTTTCATTTAGCTGTGATCAAAAGCACCTGGCCAACCATTTAGTTGATAGGAAGAAGAAAACATTTTCCATTTTCAATTTTCAGAGTTGGCTAAATTATGCAATTAATTAAACAAGTGTTCACTTGCATTATTTTCTTTATCTGCATTCCTGTGTGTGGGAAAGCAATCATTTTATACATGGTTTTATCTTCAGTGTGAAATACCACAAAATGTTGTCTGCCACACCCAAACCTACATGTACTCAAACAATACTAACTTTGGTATTGATTAGTAAATCTATGGTATTATAAAGGAAACACAACATATATTATTATACCTATGGAATTTTACAAAAGCAGTACAAAAAGAAATGATATACGGTTGTCAAACTAAATCCATACCAGTGTTTGCCACAGCTATGACTATAAGTGAATCACTTTTGACCATACTATTGATCAGTGATAAGGAACTTACCCTGGGGCTCTCCAGACCACGGAAAGTCACACTGGGGTCCTATCTCAAATAAGGTTTTAAATGCCTTCTTACTTTTACAAAAACTACACCTTCTCTAAAGTGCACTCTACTTCATGCTTGATTAGTTTTACAAGGTCCAAGGTATACAACTTTTTGGTGAACATCTTTAATAATCAGTTGGAGACTCTTTGTCCTTAGGAAATGGAAGTCACATTCCCAGGCCAATATCCACTGCTGGCAACAGATGCACCAGAAGCACCAGAACCAAGGAGAGCATTCAGTTCACACTGTAAGCCAGCCAAAGAAAACAGAGCTTTAAGAAAGTCCAAGGGTCCGAAGAGACTGTTTTGGCAAATTTGGTTACAAAAAATCCAAGTCATTAGCTTCTTAATGTAGAAGTCGGACTTTCCCAATGCACAATTTATTACTGGCAAAGGATTCACCAAGCTCTGCCAGTAAAAGGGGGGGGGAACTGTTGGAAAAGTGATCTACATACACAATTCCAGTTAAGTTATAAAAGCAATATGTGATTTAGTAAAGGCTTGTGCTGCACTACTGTGACAACAAACATTAAATCAGAATCAATTATCTGCCACATTTGGAACACAACAGTATTACTCACTGAAAAATCTCATGTAAAATTGCTTAAAAAGGAAAAAAAAAATCAGAAAATGCCAGCAGGTGTTCCAGGAACATTCATTAATAATGAGATCCAAATCTGGGGATCAATTAAATAGATCATAAATCTAGAGAGAGCTTCAGACTTCGTTTTACGTGTAATGAAACTGAAGCCTTAAAAGGTGACATGACCCGAACATGGTCACACAGGATAGTATGACACAGCTTAGAAACTGTGTCATGTTGCATCCCAGAAATACAGAGGAAAGATCTGGGTGTACTCTTAGGCATTCAGATGTCCTACAGAAACAGCTCCTTTCTGGAACTGTAATCCTTCTTGTATCTCCCTGAGGGTAGTGATCCAGGAGCAGATAGGAAAAGGTATGGAGACCAAAAAACAAGGCGCTGCTTATTTCTCTGCAAACTGGTACTTGTGACATTTGAAAAATTCTGCTGGCTTATAGTCAAAGGAGTTTATATTTTAAGCAGTTTTAACTACCGAGGTTCTAAAACTGATTTGCAGGTTATGTGACAGTGAAGCAAAGCAAATATAAAAGCAGTACATTCCAGGAAACAGCCAGATCCAAGAAAAGGCAGTTTTTGTGGCAGCTTAGGAAAAAACCCCCAAAAAGATTATAGTTCACTGATACTTAAGAAGACTAAAAGTTTTTAAAAAAATCTGTATTTGTAATTTGTAGGATCTCCTATATGTCTTCCTATCTGAAGTGGGTGATCACTACATGGGTGGTCAGCGAACTTATATTAACAGAAACATTAAAATGGCCTGAGAAACATTTGTCTACTCTCTATCTTACTAGAGAAAATAAGATGGGTTCTTAAACAATAATTTGGAAAGGAAGCAAGAGAAGTGATCGCAAGAGGGTTGAGGGCCT